TGCTCCGTCCATCTTCGCCACCACTAAGGCCTCGCTTGCTGACTTGGACTCCGCTGCTAGCTTTGCAAATTCTTCATAAATAGGTTCTAGCTTCTTGCAGTGCCCACACCAAGGGGCGTACACAAGCAGCAGTACGTCCTGTACGAAGGAAAATCAACGGGTATTCGTGCACGGTGGCATTTGTGTTTTTGGGTGAATGTTTTTTTGTGTGGGAGGTAATGAGGCAGCGAGGCGGATGATCTGACGTTTGAAGTGGATCGTGGTCTAGGGGACGTATAAACTCAGGAAGGATGGAACTAAAGAAGGGCAGCCTAGAGCATCGATAGTACCTTTTCGCTGTCAAGGACGTTTTCGTAGAAGCCGTCGGAATCAATGCTAAGAATAGGAGAACCGGTCTGGCTTTGGAGATACTTCATGGAAAGGTTTGAGCGAGTGGCAGCTTTTGGTGGTGTGACGATTCCCTCTAACTCAGCAGGTTCCGTTGCGTGCTTCTTTACAAACGTTAAAAAGCCCTCCTCTGTAGAGCTCCCAGAGAAAATTATGGGCTCGGTTTCTCCCTTTCGGATAAACCAAATCGTTGGGTAGTGTGTAATGGTAAATCCGGGATGTCTAATTTCATTTGTGGGGCCATTCATCTTTGCGACATCCAGCGCGGCGGCTGCCGCTGGGTCCGCAGCAGCTGCCCGAGCAAAGCGGAAAAACGCTGGCCTTATCTTCTTGCAGTAACCGCACCATGGGGCTGACACCATGAGAAGCACGTCCTGCAACATGAATGGCACATCGGCAGTTTTAGCGATTCAGGCTCTAGTGAAAATTCCTATATACCTGGGAGAGAGCAGCGGAATGTTGAGGTTGCCCCAATTCGTTTGGAATTAAAAAAGCGTGTGGCCTCATTACCTTGTCTGGACTCAACACGTGCTTTTCAAACGTGCTCGCGACTATCTGCTTCACTGGTCCATCGTTCTTTTCTGGGATAGGATCCGAAACAACTTGCTCCAGTTCGGGCGGAGCCCTAATGTGGTGCTGCACATTTTGAAGCTTTGAGTTGATGAACGATACAGCTGCCGTCACAGTGAGCTGCCCATCAAGTTGCTCGGGGTTGCTAGATCTTGCTCTTAGGAAGAAAAGTTTCGGTCCGTTCGTGGCTTGAATCCACTTAATCGGATGCTGTACCGTAAAAGTCTCGGCAGATGCGAACAGCAGGTCAGCACCAGCAGCTTTGTACATTCTCGCCATGATCAAAATATCAGCCAAAATGCGTGCACTTTTGTTACAAAACGCCGAGTAGACAACCACGACTGCATCCTGAAGGAGAACAGATTAGGCAACTTCGTTGAGTTTGGTGATGCCGTAATCGCTCGCGTGAGAGTAAGCCAGCACAGGATTCATGCTTACCGCACATGCCACAACACAAAAGGAGCACAGCAAGGCATCAACTGGTCGAGTCCAACTCACTTTGTCTGCCTGGGACAGAATTGCCTCTTCTGAGGACGGGTGAAGAGGCACCACCGGATAATCACCCAATAGTGACTGAGGGTCTGGGGAGCCGCACGTATTGTATTTTGGCAGCTGATGCGGGGGGACCCATATCATGTCCTCCTTAATATTGGGGGTTCCTATTTGTCTTTTTGCATAACTTTCTAGCGCTTTATAGTAAAAGCACAAGACGCGCTCTGGGAGTAGATTGGTCTTCGCGTACTGTCGAGCTGCCCAGAGGGAAAAGCACACTCTGCTTGTCTCTCATCTCACGGACTTGACCTTAAGCAAGGCCCCTCACAAGTTACGAAGTGCAGTGCCGTTTGGCGGGCTGGTCGTTATTTGTTTTCTCGCATGCACACGCCTCGCCTCTTGGCTAGCTGGTGGGTGCACACCTACGGTCCTTCTATTTGTGCCTACGCATGCTCCATCCAGACATTGCCATCGCTAGCAAACATGGAAATATGTGCTGATGAAAGACTCGTACCATTGGCTGCTATCCTTTGTGCCTCCATATCATGCTCTTTTGCCCATTGCAGCTTCGAAAGCAAGTCCTCTCCGGTACCATCGAATGGCACGTAATGCTCCCAAGGGGAAAGCTCCCTTTGGTACCACTCGTAAAAAACACTGTCTTGTTTCATCAGCAAACTTCCACCTGAGGAAGATGAATTAAAGGCACGAAAAACGCCAGCGCTAAGCTCAATCTCCCTTGAAACTAGCAGGTTACACTTCAGCAGCCGTGTTCCTCCACTTTTCAAGGGCATTTGCATGCCAGAAGGGATCAACGGGCTAGAAAAGGCAGCAAGTCTGGCCATCTTACTGGCAATCAGGTACGGGTTTCTGTAGGCAGCTACTGTGCCATCAAGCTGGAGAATATATTTGTACTTGGGGAACTCGGGGAGCTTGATAAACTTCTTGCTGCCTCCACCGAGCTGCTCTTCCGCTTCGAAATTCTCGTCGTTCTCCCAGCTGGTGATGGCTACATCCAGCAGATTTGGATGAAGCGCAGACAACTGTGCCAGTTTGACGCGAACGGGGTTGCTATCGCGTCCTCGAAATGCCGCTCGGGGATCTCGAGATTCCCAAGCACTCAGGCCCCAGCCCTACACGACACACAAGCCAAGCCGCAAGTGGTAGTATCAGCCGCAGTCAAAGCTCTGGTGCAAAATGTCGTTCCATAAAAGCCTCAATAGAAAAAAGGCCCCATCATTCGAAATGCATACGGGGGAGCCCACGCAGAGTGCGTGACCAGTTACAATATAGGCAACTCTCTCAATGGAGTTAGCACGGAGACGCTAGCAAGCTAACTGCTGTTGCCTCTTGCCGCGATGTATCTTTCGCTTGCTCCTGCGTACCTGAGATGCCAGAAGATCCGGATTTGAGTCGCTGTTACCCAAGATTGTCGAGCGCGAAACGTCCCACTGCGGAAGAACCATGTCAAAAGAATCGTTGGAGCCACACCACGAGAAGACCGGAATTCTCTCTTCACCCCAAGATTTCCCCACAAGAGGCCAGTCCCCCACATTCAACACAAATTCAACGTCTGCAAGCAACATAACAGGAGCTGCTCACAAGTGGGGAGCCCTTCCACAAGAACACCGCAGGAAGCAAGGTGAACGCTCACACGCGCGGCGGACGCTTCACGAGGCACAGCCTGGATTTCTGTGGAGGGGAGCTAATACACCACAACACCCGTCACAAACAGCATCGTAAATGCTTAACGTAATAATGACTTCGTGGGTAGGCAAAGCCAACCAAAACTGTCTCCTAGCTGGATGTTTCTTTGAACGTGTATTCACTAACCAGGCAATTTGACGGTAGCTGCTAATTGATGAAGGACCATATCCGCGAAATACGAGAAAGCTGGGAAAGGACCGTGTGCCTTTTTGAACACCTGGTTGTCTTTGACAACATAATGCAACAGAGAAGTTGCAGAGCTCCTTTCCAGTAGTTTTGGTATAGCTTGCCGTAGCTTGGCGAGATCGATGGCCTCAAAATTTTTCAAATCCTGCAGGTAACAATAGGGAAGAGATGTAGTGCGCAAGCACCTGCGTAGCACTGGAGTTCAACACTTTGTTCTCGACATTGGAGCATACAGGTCCATTCAGGTAGTTAACCGACATCCAACTCTCTTCCGAAATTCAGCAAATATACAACTACTCATCCACAAACGGCGGGAGTGGCACTGGCGATGCAGGGGAAGCCCGCCGCGGAAGTTGAAATTCAGGACACCCGTCCTAGAGTCCCTTCATCTCCCAGAGATGCAGAGGAGCAGACATACGACAAATTTGACTTCATGGAATTGCATGCAAATGGAGAACCAGAAAGGTTTGCTACTGAGCCCACCAAAGAAACCTAAGCGTGGAAACATTGGAGCTCACAAAGTGGTTACAGTTAGAATTCCCCGCATTAGTATTCTACTTGAAGGTTCATAAGCAACAACATTAGGGTGCCCCAATACTTGAATTAGTGGGAGGTTCAAATGGACTCAAGCCTGTCCCAGTATCTTTGTAATTACCTCTTCCAGTTGGGGGAAGGTGTGCGGACAGCCCATGGCCTGCGTCCAGACAGAAGGCTCGACGGGGGCGTTGCAACTAGGCTCATGTAGGGGCCCAGGTATTGAGATGTCAAGAGGTGAAATAGAAATGTGAGTTTGCTTGTCGACATAACTGATCCTCAAGCGCAGCTCGTGGCCGCTGGGCACGCCTTGCTTGACCCGAAAAGCTACTCGAAATTCGCCTTCACCTATGTCGTACACTTCCGACACAACGGATTGTCCAAAACGTTCCGGGACAGAAGGCGAAATACTCCAAGTAAGACGCACATTTTCTCTTTTGAATCCAGTGGGCAGCTCCCGGCCATCGTCGTTTCGAACTGCCACCCGGAAGTGGCGAGTAGGAGCACTGAATGCAGAATCTAGCCCAGGACCCCCGAGTATTTCGTACCTATATCTAAGAACGCGTGGGCGATAGAAAAAGCCCAAGTAGACAGCAACCAGCAAGATAATTAGCCAAGCTACCTTGGAGGTCGCCACGCTGGCCCACCTCCGCAAGGCAGAACGGCGCCCCCTTGACGCAGCTTTAGCGGCTGCAGCTCGCACTGCCTTGGGCTGGTGCGAAGGGGGGACCGGCGGGCCCATTTGTGTCTGTTTTCTTGTGTTGGAGGTGCTCCGCTCCAAACCAAGCCGATGGTGTCCTAAGAGGATTCAGCGAAGTCACACACCCTGATCCGCAAGCTCCTTCTCGATTCTCCTCCTTTTATGTGTTGAACGAAGTAAGTTGTTGCAGATTTTGCGGTAAGGAAAGCGTGCGGCTTATTCGAAAGACGCGACTGGGCCAGTTGGCCGTTCGTGGGCTTGTCTTGACCGGAACGGCACGTTAGAGAAAAGGCTGCAGCCTGCGGCGTGTCAGTCACTGCAGTTGAGTATCGTTGTCAAAACAGAAATAAGTGAAAAATGTATTGAAGAGGTTTAGAGCGAACTGGTTACAGAGCGCAGCCGATAAGGCCAGCCCAGCCCCCAGGAGTCGGCAGCAGTTGTAAGAAGCCATGTCCAGCCCTTGTGCCCTTGGTGAAGGGCACACAGAAGCCCTCGCAGACCAGCCCTTCCTACATACATAAAATTCCGAAGGAGTTGTAGAGGTAGGAAGACTGAAGAACGCGCTTGCTATTTACCAATCACCAGGCGCGTCGTGACAGTGGCTCCATGAGTGGCCCTCAGCTCCAGACAGCTGGCTCAAAGACGACACAGGGAAAAATGTGGTGTATAAGTGCATTCAACTAAAAAGGTAAAAGTCAATTAATAATCTCAGAGGTCCGTGTGGATACCAGCATTGCTGACCCAACACATGAGACCACCACACCGCAACATCGCGAGCACCGAAGTACACACAGTTGCAGTAGACACGGGCTGGGAAGCGAGGACGACCAGGATGGGTGATAAAACTAACTGGACAGCTCTGCCGGTTTTGTCCGCACACCCAGAAGAATGTGGCTCCACACGAGCAAAACAGATAGTGCGTGCAGTGCCGTTGCTGCTCGAGCCCTACACCACCTCTCACGATACTAGCAAATAGACCCTCCTACGGTCCTTGCTTCTGGTAATGCAATGGTACATAGACGATATAGGCAGCTCCAAACAGTAACGTCAGGCCTTTAGCCATACCCCACAAGAGACTATATTGTCTAGCCTGGTGCAAGTGTTGCCTTCTTGTAACAATCACACTACAGCCATCACTTGAGCAGCTGATCCTGGAGAAGACTAACAGGCATTAATGATGCCGGTGGCGCGTCCACCAGCCGTATGGTTCCTTCAACGGCTGAAGCCTGGTTGGAACAAAGTTTCATATCGAACACTTTTTCGTTGCATGCGATGTTGCTTTTTTTAAATGCCGACCGAACCAGCATGCAACACTTTAGAGTAGATTGTTGAGGAGTCGCCTCCAGGCACTTACGGGTTGAATTTCATACACCACAGCCTTGCGCCCATCCTCGAGTTCCTTCTCGAGTTGCTTCAGCTCCACTTTTCGCGATTCTATTAGGTATTTGTAGACGCCCTGCACCACGCAGCCCCCAACCACAGCACGCAGTTGCCCCATCCACCACATTTTATGAGTCACTGCCCCATCTGACGGGAACGGCAAAGCCTTAACGCCGTCACCGCATTGACGCATTGTGGCTGAGTGAATGTAAGAGGCTCAGTCAAATACCCTCTTTATGTTCCCAGCGCGCTAAAGTTTGTTAGCACGGTGGGGCCACAAGAAGTTCGGTTTTTGGAGGAAAATTACCTACGTAGATGCTCGGTTGAACTAGCCGCACAGCGAATGGTTGCGGTGTGGCTCCGCTTGAGGCGGGCAATGTACGGCCGTGCCATGTCGTAGGGGCCCAGGAACCCCCTGGTTGGCTTCTCCCTACTGCAGGCAACAGTCCCACGATTTGCATCTTCTGACCACCGGTGGACAGGTGAGTCCGTGAGGGTTGGCCGTTGGCTGCAGCAGCTGCAGGGAAACCCCACTGAACATATGTTGCCACCGCCGAGACAGCGGCTGCGTCGTCCGGTGCTACAGGGGGAAGAAGCGCTGCTGTATGTCTTGCAACCAAGCGAAAGGAGTAACCTGATTTACCTGCAGCTGGCCACAGAACTGCCGTTCCCGTGCTAAACAAAATGCAAGGCACCAGACAAGAGAATGTCAACACGGCCCTTCCGCAGCGCCTAAGACAACGCCACCAATCCATCGCGAGGATATCAGAAAGCCGCAAAATACGACGACACTGACAAATAATATAGTCAGCAGATTGTCAGCCGTTCAGTCGAAGGCTGGCTTGCCCTGCGGAGGGCAGGGCAATGTGGACAAGACGAAGCAAGGGTTGCGCTGGCCCTCAGGGGGCCAGCCCAAGAGTTTCGAGAAGAGATGCACCGTTTTTATGATTGGGCATTTCGTTGGTAATTCCAAAGAATTCAAACTACCGCTATTCCTGAGAACAGCGGCGATTCTAAACAGTAGTGGGGCCGTTTGGCCCGTCGGCGGCGGCAACCCACTGAGCTACGAGTTGTGTGTGCAAAGTCGTTTCACCTGTATTTTTATTATTCTACCTAATTATTTGAATTTGTTTACCTTGCGTGCCCCGAGATCGACATCTTACAATCGGCAGGTCTGCGGGTTTCGCTCCGTTCGAACCCCCGTCCTTTGTCCTCGATTATTCCCTCTTCTTTAGCATCGGCGGGGTCAAAGGCAGAAGACAAATATGTACATATATGTATGGGACCACCTTTTTCCTTAGCTTTGTAACTTTTCAGGTGCAAACACAACCCACAATCGAAATGTCGAAGCAAGCGACGCTGCGGAGGCTCGTCGCGCGATGCTGCACATCTCCAGATATTGATGGATAGAAAGCCGTGTGTTGTCATGGCGTAGGCTGTAGGCTCGCGCCAGAGTCGAAGGTTTTGATCGGCATGTTGTCGCTCGCCGTCCTGCGGTGCGGGGGTCCATGCCCCCAAACATTAGGGTTTCTGGGCAGGCCTGTTGCTTGTTTGCGAGGCGGACTCTACAGTCAACTTAAAGGGCACTGGAAAAACAGGCCTGAGGACTTCTGGAAGCGTCATTGCCAACTCGCTTTGCGCAGCAGGCCGGTGCAAGGCCGGGCTCCAGATCGATGTTGGGGAGTTGCAGGCAACACACCTCGGCATCTCTCAAGCCTCTCAGAAGGTGCAGCAGGGGCAGCCCACAGATTGTCTGGTCCCCAGGAAGGCGCTCCTCTGCCTAATGGAGGGCCTATTTGGACCACCGAAGGCCGAAGCCATCTGGCCCTACGCCTCCGTAGAGTGCCGAAAGAAGATTGGGTCCTCGTGTTCATCTCGTTGGGCTGGAGCTGCGCATTCGCGGGTGCAGTTGCGTTCAAAGCGTGGTAAGCATGAGGCCTCGGTGGTCTCAACTCGCTACGTAACTGCTAGCTAGCCGGTCGATAGCCGATAGCTAGCGGGCTTGCTGGCGAACAGACAAGGCACACTGTACAGACAAGCAAGCAGCATCTCGCTGCGGAAAGCAGCAGCAGCACTAAAAACAGTAGTGTAGATAGCTACAAGGGAAGAGCCAAAGTCTATTGGGGTGCAGTGTAACAAGCAGTTAACTCCCGAAACTGTTTGCCTTGCAGGCGCTCCGCCACGCGCGAATCGCGTCATCCTTACTTGCAAGAAGCGAAGTCGATGCTTCAGGTTCGCGTTTTGGGTCACTTCTTCACCTCCCTCCGCATTTCTGCATGCTGCTCTGTCTGTTTGTTAGCTTCCACTAGCTGATTCCCTTGACATCTATCAGGTGTCTCAGTTATGTTCAACAGAACCGCCGTCGAACGTATGTGGTTCAGCGTGTTGGGGCGATGTGCCTGGACTCCCCGTTTTTAACTTAAATAGCCGGGTATTATTCGCATGGAAAGTGAAAATATTCGTCACTGTCGTTTAAGTTTTCCGTGGCATGTGTGTTGAACTCCCGTTGAAGCCTCAATTGTGTGCCAGTTACGCCTGCATGGTGTGCCTTGCTGCATCCGATTTTCACCCCTACAGCACAGCAATCCATGTGCTACCTGGATTCTGCTACAAGCACATAAATGCTAGACTAAATTGCAGTGTGATATGGACGCAGTCCGATGCGGCAGTTGTGGAGCTCCTGGGGACGCCTTTGGACGTGAAGGCGGTCGAAGAACACAGTGAGACCTTTGCTCCTTGGAAAAGGCTCGTCCTGCAGTTACGGGGGCCCAGAGATTGCACGCACGTGAGCTCATGCTTAATCATTTGGCTATTATGTAACAAACGTCTCGAGCTGCACTGCAAGGGGAAGGCACACTTGACAGATGCTGGCAGTCTATTGCCTCGCCCACTACTTGCGAATGTTGCAGGCCTTTGTCTGCGCCCGCCGCGTCGGCTACAGCGAGGACGACCTCATTGAAAAATTTGCCGTACGAAGTTGCACCCACAGCTCGTAAAAGCATAAACCCCTGAAAACGTAGAACTGTAGGCGCTTGGCTGCAAATGCAGACACGAACACAGCTGATCATCTTGGTCGGCATGCGGCGCACTCCGCCAGCAGATTCCGTGCTCGCTGCCCCACCATTCCTATTCCATAACCTACACAAGAAACAAGGCCCAGGAGATCAGCAACTGAGAGGCGTTCGCATGCCTGCAGGGCATCTGCGGTGGGAAAGTTCGGTGGGCAACAAGGAAAATACATGTTCTTGCTGTTGTTGCGCCGGGCAGGCGGAAGAGGAGGGGGCGTTGTGGAGCAGGCCATACGTTTTAAAACAGTGGCTGCTGCAGGCAGTGGGCGATGCTTGGGAGTTATTTCAATTGCTCCTCTCGTCTAGAGGCACAGAAGGAAGGGGGAGGCCGGAAGGCGTCGGGCAGTGGGAAGTGACCTCCTTGTTCCTGCTGGCGCCTCAAGATACAGGCAAGGATGATGCAGACACGCAAATACGGCCCACCCGAGTTATTGCGTGCAAGGGCAGTCCTGAGGACAACCCCGACTGGTGTAAGACTGGCAAAAGATAAGGACTGAGTGGTCTTAACTTTTTGAACAGGAGCTATTTGCCCTACTCCTTGGCGTCAGAATAACTGCCACATGGTACGTGGTGTTTGCATGTGGATTCACTCCACTTACGATGCTAGCTCCATGCTGATGCCTGCACTTCAGATCGTTTTTATCCACCCGAGCAAAGCACGGGAAAGCTTTCTTCTCACTGGATCGCGAATGCCTGCCTCTTACTCGTCTGTTTATACTCCCTACGGCGTCTACGGGCCGAGTGGAAGATGGCTGCAGAACGTGTCAGTCTACTGTTTCAGTGGGGACAATAAATAAATAGATAGCGCAACCTTCTTAAAGCTACCCGCCAGGATGAGAGCGGGAATGCGTATGCCTGAATTCAGTTTGCCCAAATGCGAGCGCGTTGCTGGTCTGAATCCATGGGATGGTGGTCTGTGCGCTCTGCGTCGTCGGGTTTTTTTGTGCGCGCAGCTCTCTTCGATTCGATTTGTCAACCATTTCATTACAGTGCGCCATTCATTATCTTTGTCTCGTCTGTAGTCATGATGCAACAACGCCTAGAAGCTAGTCAGCCGCATGACTAGCGCACACCGGATTCTGAAAGGCTGTCTGTTTAACGTTGGTGCATCGCTACGGAGAAATTCATGCTTCACGTAAGGTCGGACTTCTTGTACGCTGTGAGCTACTGTGCAGCACCATCGCCACCTGCAGCAGCTCACTGCCCGCCAGCTGCAAGACGCAGCAAAGAAGAGAGGTCCCATTCCAGAAAATGTCTCAAGCAGGGACAAACGAGCCGGGGCGCCGCAGGTGCGCCTGCGGTACTTCACGGGGCAGCTGTCTCGCGAGGCTATAGACGGCGTGGCGCATCTTGAGATTCACACTCAAGAAAACGCAGGGCATGACCCTGACTTCGCCGACATGTTGCAATGCGAGCTGGTGAGCTGTGCAGTTTGCTGCAGCAACGCAGCACAGACCGCGAGGGGGAGGTGTCATCAGCTACTGTAGTGACCCTTTTTCTGAAGCGCGTAATGCCATATGCTGCTGCAGCGTCTGCAAGCCCGGCGGCCTTCGCCTTCAAGCCCGTATGTTGCTTTCGAGTGAGACACCAAGCTAGCCCCCCCAAATGAGGGAATGGCAGCTGCAGCAGCCGCAGTTGCAGGGGTCAACGTAGTGTGAGGAAGCGACACCCCCTGCGTAGGTTCCCGTTGCCGCGTTCTTTGCTGCAGGAGCACTTTGTCCTTGATTCGGGAACCTCGTGACGATGCTGATCCGCCCTTCCCTGTTGTGCAAACGTTCGCCTTGGACCCCAAAGCACTCGTCGTACCTGCAAAGGCTTAGGCCACGCTAAGCCTATATCTTCGCAACTCCTGCGCTCATTAGTCTTTTACCATGGAAAAATCCGTTGTGCCAGGAGGCCGCACCGTGAACGGAGCTGACATTCTGCCCATCGCCAGCAGTCCCGTGCAGATAGCGTGCCAAAAACATCTACCCGCGAAGGCCTCTGCCGCAAAGTAGCAAGATGCATGCATGCGGCATCTCAAACGTCAACTCGCAGCTTGTCAGCGATATCGATGTGCGAAACCATCTGCAGCGCATTTCATCCCAAGTTGATGCACCCTTCCTCAACGCAAAGTTGTCTTTATTGAACACAACGGAAGCACTTGGTTGTTACTTCCGTTTTTGTTATTAATACTTTCTGCTGCAAGTGCACACTAGCTGCTTCCCACCTCCCTGAACTCTTCAAAGGAAATCATTCCGTCTCCATCTTTGTCTGCCTGTACTATCGTCCTGTCCACCAGCTGCTGCAGCTGCAGCAACCAGCGTAAAGACAGAACGAATGCATTTTCTCGACCCAGTGAAGCATGATAAACTACGAGAAAAAATGTGCCTGACCCGGTGCACCATCATGTCCCCTGGAACGAACAATGCAAAAACGGTCCCGAGGAACCTCCGCTCGGGCCTGCACATCTGGATATCCCCGATACAGTTCGCTGAAAAGTAGACATGAAATTGGTGGCTGCTAAGGACGCCATCTGTGGCACACGAAGGTAACAAGGCCAACGCCCTTACAGTTGGCAATGGTGTGAAGTAGTTTGCCGTACCTGCTGATCATTCAAGTTGTTTCCAACCATCATCTTCATCACTGCAAAGAGTTCCCCGTTGCTGATGTGGCCGTCCTTGTTGATGTCGTAAACGTCGAAAGCAAACTTCGTCTTCTGCATTTCGTCCGTCCCGGCAGCTAACTTTGACAGACCCACCAGAAACTCTATGAAAGATACGCGGCCATCTCCATTTGTGTCAAATATCGAAAGCACGCGCTTAACCAACGGATTCTGGAGACACAAACGCATCGAATCCCAAACACCAAAGCAAAGATCACGACACAGGGAAATACGTGGGGAAATAAACACGCATACAAGCTGCAAATAAGAACATAAAAAGGAGCACAAGAAAAAATTGTGTTCCAAAGTGGAAGAAAACAAGTATTAGCAGCACAAATATGCATGCCAACATAAATAAAAAACATACAAACCCAAGCATCAACAGCTCCGGACAACCCGGGTTATCCAAGACCTCAAGTGTAAAAATGGAACCGATGATGGGGAGGAGCTGCAATGACGCACATCTGCAATCTCTGGTACGTCGAAAAGCTCGTGTGGGTCGAGTTCTCCGTTATGATTTGTGTCCAGGGCGCGGAACCGTTTGTACAACTTTTTGATGTCGCGCTCACTGAAGTTGGCGGCCTGGACAAGGTCTTTCTGCTCCTGCGGGCTTAGTTGCCCCTGCGCGTTGCTGCAAGGCCAAGCGCAGAGAACGCAGAGGCAGACGGACTGTGCCCGGGGAGTAGTTTGTGGAATTATTGAACGGCGGACTACATCTTGCAGCGCCGAACGGACACAAGGTTGGAGAGAAAGGGCCTGGGGAGTTCACAGGAAACAAATTATGCAGCAGGCCCTTACCCCATGGTGGCGTGGTGCCTGAGGATATGCCGACAAAGACAGACGGGTAACTGCTGCACTCCCGTGACGAGTGGCCGAGACCTCTGCGTCCCTCTGCTGCAGCACAGCCGCCTCTCTCCTTCGCGCAAAAATACTGGCAGCTCTCCGCCTACAAGCGGTAAGCGGCAGGCCACTCCGAAGTTAGCAAATTAGGTGCAACAGAAGCCAGCGGCTCTGGCCTTCCTTGCGCCTGGACCCCTGCCTTAAAAGAGCCGGGCCCTTCGTGTTTGCGTACAGCCGGGTTTGCTGAGCCAAAAACCCTGCTGTGGCAGACCACATCGACCGCCGCCGCTGCGCTCCAAGTTCAAACACCCGCCTGTGATGCCCGTCTCTGCAGAAATACTCGGACGCGCCCGAGAAAGAATGGGGGCAGGGCAAAAGCAGGCAGCTCAGTGAAGGCGGGAGGAGAAGTGCAGCACGACGGCCAAATTCTAGAGACAAAGACGCGAGGCGAGGGGTTTACCGGCTGTCAGGGGCCCCGTTGCACTATGCCTGTGCATGCACAGAGTACGCACAGAAGCCAAACCGAGCGAATGCCCACCCGCCGCTGCTCTCGCCTACAGACGGAAGTCTCACAGAGCTGCTGAGGACGTGAGCCGACAAAAACATGCAATGTAGACGCATCTGTCCGCAGCTTCCCAACTAGCCTCCACAGCGTCGTCGTGCCAACGGACAGGACGCCGCAAGCGTTTCCGGTTGCTCAGGGGTCGCGGCAAGACAAACGGAAGAGTGTAGAGGAAGAGTCGATATACGACTGAACTCAATTTGCATACTTCAATGCTCGGTAAACCCAACTCCATGCAAAGCAACGGCCGCCGCTATGGCGTGGAAGCGCAATACTGGTACTACACTTGGAGGCAGCGATTGTATTGCTGGGCACTACTACAACGACGTCTGCAAAACACCGCCCCGGGCAGCAGAAAGAAGCGACTAAAACACCTTTAAATTATAAGTGTGATTATAATTAGGGATATAATGCGCTACACTAAAGGGGGTTTTGCCGTCGGCTAGCCTTACAGCCTCAACAGTGTAGTACAGCCAGCTCTGTCTGCAGCAAGCGGCGCCTCTGCGCGCTCATTAGCGCTGTAGGGAAGAAGCGGTACATCTTCTTTTCTTCCCCGTCTGAGTGGCAAGCTTATTCAATACTCTGTCAAAAATAGATAATATCTGGCTGCCCGAGTCGGGTCCCTAGGAACCGTGAAGAGCTAGCCGGTTTCAGAGACCCACGCAGGTAGAGCGTGATGGTCTGTCTGAAGTGGGTACTTATGCTTCTACATGCGTTCAAGTTGGCCGCTAGAGGCCAAGTAAGCGTTTAACAATTGATCACTGTGTTAATGCTTGCAGCAATAGTGGGCTTGGTCGCAGGTGCATGTGGGGTTGGCCTGCAGCACTATTTGCAACAAGGTGCGTTGCAGCTCATTGCACACCGCCGTCTCTCCGTAGCAGACCTAGTCCCTTGAGCTCTTGTGCCCTGGACCCTTGTAGACTGGTAGATAGGCAATACGTTGCGTTGTGGGGGATTTCTTAGCTCCGCAGACCTTACGAGGGTCCTCGGAATGCCGTGATCCGCAGTGGAGTCGACGTCGTCAGACATGAGTCTCCCCCCCGAGCAGCTAATAACCTCCCCTCGCGTCTCCAAGCATACTGCGCACGGTGGCCGAAGGGCCAAGTTTTGGTGCGTGGAGGAGGCAGCCTGCGTGAACTGCAAAGCACCTTGCCGCAACTCCTGCTGCAATTAAACCCCGTTCGTTGCATGTGTGAGCACTATTAACATTCGTTGAACGCTTTGTGGCTCTCAACAGCCAGAATACGCGCAAGTAGAAATGCGCGGGCCGACTTCGGACAGACCATGCTGCACGGATTCTGCTGCAGCACACGACGAATTTTGGTTGAGGCCTAGGACTCGGCTTACACAGAGAAGACATACTTTCATCTCGAACCGTTGCCAGCCGCCTGAGTTTTCTTTTGACCCGTACGTCTTCCTCAGCACCCCCAGTCAGGGACAAGCTTGTCGCTTGCCTGCTAATTGGTTCCCTCATTGCGAAAATGTAAAATCAGTGGCAACGCATTTGCGTTTGCCTTAGTAGTCCGTATAATCTGAATTTGTACATTATGCGTAGCAGCCACTCAGCGCATGCCATAGGAGTGACGGGACTCACTACGGCACAACGGCCACAAGCCGAGTTCAAATTCGGGGAGGCAGCGCCCTTGGGAAGTACCGCGACATAAGTATTGAATTAGTAGTAAAGGCCAAACGGTCACTACAGCAATACCAGAGGCGGTATTGCTCCAGTGTCCAGACAGATGTTCAAGAGTCAATCCTCTAGTTACAAGTGGTAGTCCTTATTGAACAACATAAACGAAAGGCGAAATCGCAAGTTATTTTGCCGTTTCGCGACAAGGGCAGAGCGAACTCCCCAGCTTACCTACAGCCCAACCTCTCAACCGTATATGCATGCAGTGCCTTTCTACGCTCATGCCGAGGGAAGCAGTCGCAGCTGTTTATTTGCTGTCCATGAGTTGTACGAACGGCTGAGGCGATGCAGTGTGTTGCCGCAACACAGACGCTACGCATACGCTTCGCCTCACTCAACCGAAGAGCTACATCTTTCGAGCACTGCCAAAGCAATGGCACTGCTGCATCGCTGACAGACATATGAGGAGGGCAGCCCTAGAAACCCCCACCGCCTCTAGGCATACCCAGCTAGCAGTGGTCTGGTTGGCAGGTAAGGAGAAACAAAGGCGGCTCTCCTCGTATTTTCTCTACGCCAACCGTCTTAATCTGCTCATGTAAACACTTAAGGAAGCGATGGCTGCAACTCTCAGACCAGAGGCGTCCGCTGCGCGGCTTTGGCCACCAGTCGTCATTCGTTGCAGCGCAGAGCGCCTCGTCACTAATAATAGGATCTTAAGGTGGAAGGCCACTCCCATGGCCCTCGTCGGCCTTCTAGCAACAGATCCAGTCTAGGTAACGGGATTCGTTAGGTGGACAATCAGCTGAATACCTTTGTCGGGTTTACAGACAGCTGAGAAATGAGCCGCTAGTGCCAACAAGGAAGGAAGACCTTCCACCTTAACCTCATCCTCTTCTCTGCGGTTTGGGCAGATCGCGCAGCGTCATCATCCTGCTGTTGGGTGGAGGCCTGCGCGAGGCATTGCTGCGTCCTCGGTTATTGTTATTGCTGTTGTCGTTGTTGTCATTATTGCTGTTCCCTCCCCAGCCAAGCTTCTGCCAAAACCAGCCGCCCCCCGACTCGTCGCGTCCCGAGTCTCCGTCTCCGCGAGTAGATGAAGGCCGCGCTGCCGCAGATTCTCCCACCCCTCTTTGTCTGTAACGCTCCTGCTGCTCTCGCCGTATGGCCTCCAGTTCCGCATCAGGATCTGGCCTGCGGGAAGAGGACGACGGACTGGGGCTGCGCGCCGCGACACAGCAACAACAAGCAAAGCAGCAATGCAAAGGCGCCTTGAACCAGTGCCTCTCACCGATCACACGTCTGTCACCTCCACGAAAATTTTAGTTCTGTACGACAAAAAATAAACCCTGAAAAAAAATAAATAAACAACTTACCCAGATCCTTGCTGCCGTGACAAAGTGGCGCTGCTGTCTTGAACTCCAGGTGTGCTTCGTTCCCGGGACGGACAGCCAGCTGAGGGAAGAGGAGAGGCTGCAGCTGCTGCGGCGCCTGGATGGGATATCTCCTCCCCAGGAAGGCTACTGATTACCGCCTCTATTAGCTCTCCGCTGCTAACTAGAGTGTCCAGATCAACTGGTCCCTCCAACACGATGTACTCCTGCGGGCTTCCCGTCAGCACGTGCGGAGGCCGGCCCACCCTGAGCCGAAAACCCAAAGCCTCCAGTAGCTCCCGAAACAGCGGGCTCACGTTCAGCACCCTTTCTCTTAAAGGCGAACCACTGTGCGCCTTCACCCATTTGAACTTGGAGAGGTTAGGGTCCTGGCTGCGCTCTGCCTGGACGATGCTGCAGAGTAAGTAACACACAGATCGAGTAGTCTTGAGTAAAAAGCAAGGGCAGTAGCTAAACATGAAGCCGCTGCAGTTGGATGGGTCTGTGTTTCTTACTTGTTCACAATCTTCAGCACTAGCTCGTATGCCCGCTTCTTGGCAGCAGGGCTGATGGGAGCATCCGCGATGCTGCTCAAGATGCTCTCCATCCTTACAAATTCAAAAGACGATAGGAGTCTGCGAAAGCAGAAGCAAAAACGTCTGCGTTCATCTCTGCCGGCTCAGTCGCCGCTCGGCGAGACCGCAGAAATTCGCGGACTCCGCCGGCTGGAGCTACTGGTAAAACACTCAACGATGCAGCCGTCTTGAAGACACTGTTATGCAATTTTTTGTTTCACCGAAATCGTGTTTATTTCTTTTCTAATCTCCACACCTCCCTATCCTCGCCGCCGGTGCAGCCCGCCTCGGTTGAAAAACAGCCTTGCGGCACATGCATTTGCGGCTTGAATTCAGACGATGGTTACTTTACATATCCATTATTACAAGTATACGATTAAGTTTCGACGTTGGAAATCTTTCTGCATTCTTCACTCGGTCCAGCCGAGCAGCGCTCTTTGGTTTTGTGGCCAGGAACGGTGGGAGTTGCAGCTTCCAACTACGACTCATTGCTGGGGAATTCGGACTATTAGTTTGAATAAGCTTCATATAATATCTATATTAATGAATGTGTTTATCAACCTGAGCTATGTAAACATAATGCATTTTGCTGCAAGAAGTGCCGTAGCCAGGAGCTGAAGCGGCCAATCCTGAAGCGGCGGTTTCCTGTTAACCAACAAAAGGCTTATTGACCCGAAACAAGAGTGTAAAGAGCAATTATGGTTAAGTCAGTTAGACTCGGCGGATTTCTTATTCTGTGTGTTGTTTTTATGTCGTGCAGCGGGTATGGGCAGCGTAGCGTTTCGCCACAGATGACATCAGAAAGCAGTGCCGCTGCTACAGAATGCAGGAATCAGGCAATATAACACTCAGAACCCTTCTATTTTCAGCCTCCAAGAGTCTTAGCGCTACATAGTTGGGAGAGAATGATGAATCTCAATAATGTTGATCATTGTTGTCGTAGAGCGGCCGAACTCGGGTGTTTCTACATGTAGTTCCAGGGCATGGAGATAGAGGGGTCGTCTTCGCTGTAGTTAGCTCTAGACATGGGCCTATCCCATAAATACACTCTGCATATCTGCATTCGGGTTGCGCGGGTTAGTTCAGCCGTGTGGGCCACTCAAGGTTCCTGCTGCTAGTATATCACGTATGGCTTTGACGGCCATTCGGCATGCAGGAATTAGTTAAGGGGATAAATAAAATATGCAACATGATGCCATGAGGAGCGATGGAGTATCACGGTGCTACCAGCAACAGAGGCTGCTTTACAGAGTCTCTGGAGACACTGCAAGGAAGCGTGATGTCTCCTTGTTGGTTTGTTGGTTTGTTGCTGGCTGTAGTCGTCTTTTCCAGCCCTAAATTTTCACTTAAACTGAACTGATGCCGCTCATGTATTGACGCTGCAGCATAGAGAAGGAGCCAGTGGAGTGCTGTCCACGAGTTCGTTCTGCGAATCCTGAGGCATTCATGTTATTTGGCAAGTGCCCATGCCTCAAAATAAAAAGCTCACCAATTCGATTGTTGCCGTAATCAAAAACGACGTAAAATTTCCTCAAAAAAGCATTTCCCAGCACCTAAAGGCGTTCTTAGTAATATCTAATCCGCCCGCAGAATGTGTGTGCATTGTACAAAAAGTGGGTAAATATTTCAGTGTATATGTATCTACTAAACAAAGGCATTCTGAAAGTTGGCTCACAACGGTGTGGCTTTGTCCCGCGGGCAGTGGGAGCGCCATGAATGTGGAAGTGCAGTCGAGAGAAGATGAGGCATTTGTCGTGTAGTCTTTGGGATCAATTGTGAAAGCCTGGGGCTCATCTCCTGGGGGGGGTTCTAGAACAAACGACAGGCGTTTCAAGTTCTCTTTTTCTGCTTCGCTGCACAGAGAAAGGGCTCCTGTCCTGTCGAGTATTTGTTCGATGAAGGCGGGAGAACCACCTATGCCTGAAGTGCCTGTGTCAATCACTGCTGTGCAAGGCAGCTGAGGTGTACAGACGCCAACAGTTGCCTCGTCTATCAACACATCCCACAAGCGCAATTCCCATTTCTTTCGCGGGTTTGGCAGCAGCGGAAACCACGCGATTGCTGCTGTGCCCTTCTGTACGTAACTGAAGAGACTTTTCTGTAGGGTGTCTCCTTGCAAAAGGGCTGCTGAATATTCCGTTGCTTACCTTGGGTTGAAGCCACCAAAAGTTATTTCCCCTGCTGAGGAGGCACTCAAAGGAAGAGCAATGGAAAACATCGCACGCTTAATTGCTCCCGCCTCAAGCAGCAAGTGAATTAGAGAACTCGAGCCCTGCTCATGCTGCGGGCAACCTAAAGAAATTTATTTGTTTTCCCTTGAAATACACCAGGAGCAAATACGAAGGAGAACATTGTAATGCACCGAGGCCGGCGATGCCGTCGAAAGCTGCAACAGGAATGTCCTTACAACAAATATTACTTTCGCTTGCTATCGCGTTGCTCTCACGAAGTTCAGAAAAGGGGTACTCGGGCTGTTGGACAACAAATCCAAATGCGAAGTCATGGAGGCTGAAAGAAGTCAGTTGAGCTGCATATCGACGCCTGTCAAGAGGAGGCAGAGTCAAGTGCTCACGTCGCGTTTTCCAGGTGCAGTGAATCTCTTCCTGTCACTGACTCAATGTATCCTGAGGCGTAAGTCACACGCGTTCGCTGCTGAGGTGCTGCTGCTGCTTCTGCTGGTGTGAAAACAGCGCTACTGAAGGTCACCGATAGCTCGGGGTTGAACCGCCTGTGCTGCAGGCAGGAAGTCACATGGCAGCTGATGGAGGGCACCCACGTGTTCGAGCTGCCTGCAGCGAAATAATATCGTTTTAGCACCGCTACGTATACGGCGCTCAGCGCTCCTACACGCACCCGTGTCAAAGAGAACTCTGAATGGTTGAGGGGGAGTTCCTATTCCAATGCTGCCGTAAGACCTTTGGTTTGTTTCATGCCTCTTAATTCGTAATTTCGGGTCATAAAACAAGCTGACTGAAGGCCGTCGTCAGTCCAAAGAGGCAAAGAAATCACTTCTGCACCAGATAAGTATTCTTCTGGCGGGCCTGAACTGTCAAGGGCTTCGGGCAAGAAGCTTCGTTGCAAAAGTAACCGGTGCAGTTCTTTTTCAGCTCACTCGAGAGCGCAGGGTACCGCCGTCGTGAAAACTTCTCAAATCCTCGAACTGGAAGGAAAAAAACCGTAAGCAACAGCTGTAAGAATTGGCGGATCCGCTCCATGCCCTCTCCTGCCGGTTATTGTTAAACCTAACAAACACCTCAAATTTCACTGGAGTTTCCCTTGTGAAACGGCACTGAATTTCCGCAGTCTTTCCTTCCCTGCACGACGCTGTCCTTGGCTGTCTGTTCCTGATGGTGATGGTTGCAGCTCCAGTGCTGTCCGCTCAGTGTACATACAGCACTGCTAATTGGGCAGGTCTATGTCTGTGACTTCACATGTAGAAACAGAAGGGCGTAGGTACGTGGAGACATAAAAACCTAATAGAGTTTATCTCAAATAAAACCGACAGCCCTAGCTGCTTGTCGAGGCGCCTCATGTCCGATATACAACAGCCTTTCTTGGCTGGTTTTCTCATCTTCATCTGCCTATTCGATGTTGCATGACCCGCCCTTCTAAATACCTCCCTGCGCTGGAGAAAAAACGAGGGCAATCCAGGCTCACCTAGGCACCCTATCTACTGTAGGGTCTTTTGAAACGGAGAACAAGAACAAAAAACACAGACAAAAACAACGACGAGTAGCGCCGTGGTACTTCCACCCGGTCGCCTGCAGCTGCTCAGCTGTGGCGGAACTGCAAATCGTTGAGTAGAACCCAAGTTTGGCACGCCTAAAATGGCTCCTGCGCTTGCTGGAGCGAACAGCGCGCTTAGCCGCCCCTAATTTTAGGCTCCATGCATACCTAATTAGGCGCACACTCGATGTATATACGCTACACTCTGCGAGCATAGTGCTTTGTAAATATGGCCCCAAAGTATCAGAGAACAGTCTCGCATTAGTGTCCCGGGTCAAACAGCCCTAAGGGAGGAAGAATAAAAACAATAATTCCCAAGTCGGCCCTTTTGCCTTACCTACTACAGTGCCAGTCTCACAATCAGCCCCAGATCGTGCAGAGAACTCTTGGCTCGCTATCCTTGTCCCCTGCCTAATGCGGCTTGATTTACCTCTAATAATATATTATTTGTGCTCTCTCTGCCGGATAGACCTCCAGAGTACTAATATGAGTACCACTGTAGTGATTGGGAACTAGCGGTCTCGCTGATTCGGCAGTGATGCACCCGCTGTTTCCTCTGAATGTTTGCAGTCTTTCCCAGCAAAATCAGCTGAAATCCATTTTGCACAGCAGGCGGTTCTTCATTTTTTGGTCTCACTTGTGGATAAAGCAATAAAGTAGTAGTGGCGGCAGCTGACGATTTCGAGGTTCAGATGGGGGGCCCCAAGACCCAATCGAACAGCCTCATTTGTAAAGAGAAGATGAAAATTTGAATTTCGGATCTTCAGAAGGGCATAAAAGAAAGATTAAGGCACAAGATGGATGGCATAAGTTGTGGCTGAGAGGAACTGTGCGGCTTTCCCACTTTCTCTTCTGCTAATTTCGGTTCTTCATATACAATATACACGTGTATATATATATGTACATTAACTACGCATGAAGGCGTTCCGTGTATGGATATAACATGTAGAAGGGCCCCCAGCTAACAAACAACGGCTGTGGGCCCTTCCTTATCCATTGGTTTCCCCAACGGGCTCCGCACCTCTAACTTCTCCTGCCCTTCCCTTTGACTTCGTAGGCCAGCTCTGCCTCTGTTTTCCAAACAATGGAAGCCTCAGCACCAGAGTCGCGTCTGCGTTACCCTCACCTGCCTGCTGATTTGCAGGGGTTGCCGTCTACGATGGCCTCTGCCTCAGTGGCGGGTTTGTTGTCTCGCGCGTTCATGCACCCACTAGACACCGCCAAGGCTGTCATTCAGGTGCAGACAACGCCAGCCCCACACACACTACAGACACTGCTAAGAGGCTCGAGGACCCTAAAGACGCTACGTTCTCTGTGGCAAGCGGAGGGCCTCGGGGGCCTCTACAGAGGATTCGGGTGAGCCTGCAGCAGGCTGACTTGATGCCCCCTTACTCTCCGTTTCTTTGTTGATATGTGCAACAACGAAGGGGGCTGAACTGACTAAGGGTTGTTGCTTCTGTATTTTTGACACTTTGCGCACAGTATCACTGCTGCACTAGCAGTGCCGGCGACTTGTCTATATTTCAGCACCTACGAAGCCCTCAAGGCACGGCTACTGCGCGTCTCGCCCTGCCCCGAAGAGCAGCAGCAGCAGGCAGCAGCAGACAACAGCTTCATCAGGGCGTTGCTGTTGGATTCTGTCTGCGGCTTTGCTGCAGAGGCCGTCGCCTGCCTTCTCTACCTCCCCATGGACGTATGCAAGGAGCGTCTGCAGGTGTGTCGGAACGAGTTCTCCAGCTAACATGTAGCTGTAGCTTCAGTTGCAGCTGCATATGTTTAGTGCGTTCGGAATGCAGCAGCATCTTCGTGCTGGTGCGGGAGGCTCTATGCACTGTCTCTACGCCCTTCTCAGTGTGCAAGACGACAGCGGCAAAGTGACTGGTGCGCACCTGTGGGGTTGGTGCAGGTATATTCAGCAATGCAGCCGGAGTTAGCTAAAAAGCAACGGCCTTCCTTCTCCGATGTCGCGCTAACAGGGGGCCTACGCGGCCTGTACAGAGGCTACGGGGCTACTTTGCTATCTTTTGGTCCCTTCAGCGCCATCTTCTTCACCCTCAATCACGTAGGAGCTGGTGTGAAGCATCCGAGCGTTCTTTTGTGCTTTTTTTCATGTTTCTTCCGTGGCGGCACCTGCTGCGTCTTTATTCTTTGTGCCACCCGTCTATTGGTCGTCTGCCCAGGTTTTGCTGCTGCTTACATTGCGTTCGTTCCCCCTGTGTCCTTTTGTCTTCTTGTGTCTGTATACACTTTACCTCGTCTCCGTTGGCTTGATGCCAGGTTGCTTTTCTACTGCTGCTTTGTCTCAGCAATTCGGCAGAGTAGCGAACAGCCTGCTGCTGCCGCCAGAGGCTGTGGAGGCCTCTTCGCTCTCATCTTCTTCTTCTGCTGCTCCTCCCAGCAGCCCTCTCGTGGCGGCGTCTGTAGCCGGGGCGGCTGCCGGCTGTGCGGCCTTTCTGACTGCGCCTCTCGACAAGGTGAAACTCAGGTGCGTAAAAAGCACTTCATTAATCTCTGAGTTTGGATCAGGTATTGCAGCAAGAAACAGGCGAAGACCCGCGTTATTAATCCATCTACCGTATTTATATTTAACAGACTGAGAGACATTGGTTACGGTGTGCATTTATCTGTAGTATACTTATACAAGCAAATTAAGACAACCTTATTCAGCGCTGTTTCTCGTAAAGGTATCCGCAAAAGACCCACGGACCCACACAGCCAGTGCACCCACAGCCAAATCTCTTCAGTTCTAGATCGACTCAAACCAGGGGAACTTCTTTGTGGACACTGTGCTGGTGGAGAACGTCAGCTTGCATTCAAATGAATGAAGAAGAGCTTAAGAGGAAGACGAATAGTCGAGTGCAAGTCCAGTGGTCGCTCCCATCTATAGTATTTGCGCCTGTCTCTCTCAGTGGGTCTCTGCTTCAGCTAATGGATTTTTTGTTTTTTCTCGTCTCTGGACGTGCGACTCTCTTCAGGCTCCAAGTGCAAGTGGAGGCCTCTGCAGGCCATCAAACTCCGTTTTATTACAAGCATTTTTTTCATGTGAGGCGACTCTGGAGCGCCTGCTGTGTGCCCATGTTACTGCTAGCCGGAGTGAATGCGCACACAACGTTTGGGCGGTGTAGGAGAGAGTGTATGCGTTGCTTGTTCATTTTAGGGCTTAATTTCTCTCTGCAAGGCTGAAGGACTGGCGGGGTGCTTCGCAGGCGTTGGTGCGAGGACCATGTTTCACTCGGCGTCTCTCTCCATGACCTTCCTCTTCATGCAAAGTGCCCGCAACGCTTACTGCCGTTACTTTGAGGCTTAGCGGCGTGAAGCTGCAGCACCGTCAGCAACACGGGGAGCTGTACCATCTATCAGCCTACTAGTATTTTAGGTACATTGATCACTCTCTTCGTGAGGAACAAACTATTAGTTTAGGGGACTTCTACGCCAAGTAGCGGTACTGCATTGCTGCAGAGGGATCATTTTTGCTGCTGAGAGCAACAAGCAGCAACTGTGGCGAAGTGAATTTCAGCTGTTTCCCATGGTGGTCTTCGCAAGAGGCTTCAAGAAACAAATTCGAGAGTTTTAATGACACCGTACATTCTGCAGCAGAGCCTGCAGCTGCAGTTGCAGGTGTAGGCAGGCCGTCTGTGCGTACGGGAAGTCCTATTGGTAGAATGCATAAGTTACAATGGCCGTAAACACCGAAGCAAGCAGAGCCCAAGTCGGGTTGTCCTGCACTGAGCGATTCATCACGCGTGCGAACCGCCTGAGCACTCACCAGAGTCTGCTGCCGCATGGCAGTGGGCGCCTTTGAGCATCATCGCAGACTCTCGTTTCTGAATGCTTACACTTACACGTGTCTGTGTGACTCACAGAAAGGAGCATTACTTACCTTTCCCGCTTGCTGCGGAAATAGGCAACTAAGTTACGCCAGAGATTCAACAGCCTGAATGCTTTTTCCAGTACTTGAGAAGGAGTAACAACAGCGACCGCTTACCTACACTGAGCGGAAGGAAAAGGCAGACTCAGATTCGGCATGGCAGCCTTGCAGTTGGCTTTCGACTGCGACGGCCCCACGACAACTTCAGGAAGACACCACGAGGAAACGTCCTGCCAAAAGGCGCACGGTGATGGTGTTTTACAGAGGCTGAATGCGCATAGCTGTCTGCTAGTTGTCTGCTATACCAACTCCCGGCCTGAGATGCTGGGGCTCAGAAGGCACCAAGCAGTGGTGAGCCGACCAGATGCGCTGCTTTAGTGTTGAAGTCGCCAAGCGTTGCTGCAGGGCTACTTCCGTGTAATTCTCTGTTTTATACATTACAGACAGGCTCATGATGATTGTGCGGTGACTTAATCTGGTGAGGGAATGCGGATGGATTCCTAAGGGAAGTGCAACGACTCCAATAATGAAATCCATAAAAATGGTTTATGTACCAAAAGGCCAAGTTCCCCTTCGTCTCTTTCAATCCAGGTGCTCTTGGAGAAACCGCGTTGGAGGTTGAGGCGGTCAATTGTATAGTAGTTAGAAAGGCAGAAGACGGCGTCTCGCAGAGCCATGCAGCCAACGGTGTCCCAGGCCGTCCCGTCGCAGGCCCACAGAAGTTCGTTAAAAACATCTGAAGTGGAGGATCAGCGCAAAGTGAAAAATACTATACGCCGTTATCCACACCACGCTAGAGGATACCTGAGCAGTGGCATTTCACCTCAACAACGTTACCTTTAGCTGGCTAAGTGCTGTAGCTGCAGGTGTAGCTGCAGATGTGGCTACAGCTGTATCAGTACCCGATTCCTGAACTGTCAATATGTCCTCCAGCATCAGACTGCGCGCCTCCCTTAGGTCGCCAAGGTGAACATGCGGAAAGGCTCCACCCGCTCGTTGTGCAGTTGCTGCGCCTATCACGCCTTCACACATGCTGGATGGAACGCCTCTGAATGCTCCCTTAACCTACACTCTGATAACCCTTTGCTAGGTTCAAGATAGGCTCTGCTTAAGCCTCAGTGATACCGAGGATCTGCTTCAATTCTGCCCCTTCTGCATCTATGTATGTGTGGCCTGCGGCTTTCACTTGGCTGGCATTGGCAGCGGGGTTGGTTTTGGAGTGAAATCTATCTCCCTAGAAACTGCTGCTTTCGTAGGAGATTACCACATGCGTGAAACAGGCAGAGGACAGAGAGGCTCGGTAAGGACAGAGGCTTCATCCCTCGTAGTGCTCGCGTTTTCTCGCCCAGTAGTGACACCTCGCCTACATAGCTTAGTGCGCTGTCTAAATAGTTAGTAGTGAGGGAATTCCACTACACAACAGCTTTGAGCATTGCCCGTGGATTGGGGAGAGCGCCGCAGCGGAGCCTGCAATTGCATTCTAGCCCCCAACAAGGCTCGGGTCCAGTGCACCACAATCGACACAAGCCGAAATGCGTCATCTACCCACGGTGACTCCGCGCAATTAGCTTTCGGAAATTTGTGCTCCATCCTTCAGCATTATTGGAACGGCCCTCCATGCGGAATTGACTGACGATAATTTTTCACTTCCTTCAGGTGGCTCAGGTGACTGCTGCCTGTCGGCAATCTTCGACTGCTGGTTCACGGGTCAGCTCATGTTTCACATTGTTCCAGTGCCGTTGCTAAAGCCGAACCGAAAAACAGTGAATAGATTTTGCAAGAAGGATGCGCGTGGAAAAGGGCCACCCACTCCGAAATGGAAGGTCACCTGTATGTGTCGCTGTGAATATCTGTGTGTGTGAATATCGTCCGTCCGAAGCTTGCATGGCAAGACGGTATTAAAGCTAGTCGAATACACCTGCACAATGGGGGCGCAACGTGAATATCGCCACCTCTCGTATGCTTCAACACTGTGCATCGTTTATCCTGTACCATACGCGAGTTCGTGCGGCCCATCCCGTCAAACATGATTCCACCTTACGTATTACAGCAGAAAACGTATGACACGAAATCAATGTCCCAAACTGCTTTAGGGAAGCATCTTAAAAAAACGGGCAGACGACCGAAACCACTGCAAAGGAGTTCCGGGTCTTTCATGCGGGCTACCACATCAAAAGGTAAAAATCCTTATGCACACATATAGCGCTTCTCCGAGTGACCCGGTCACATTGTTCACTGGAACTACGCCGCCAATTGATTGGCGTCGTAAGAGCCTCTATGCTCAACGGCGCGTAGCTTCCACAAATGTGGACACGCGCAACGCAACTATTCATGTTTCGTCTAGTTTTTGTTGAGAACCTACGACGAGGGTAACTTAGCTGCTTCCACTGTACACTGCCCGATCTACATAGGGCTTGTCGGCAGCAGTGGATCATATGCGGGATTCCAAAACCGGGCAGTGCCATTCGCTGCACGCCGACGTCACAGACGTTGCCTCTTAGCATTCCAAGGGAAGAAATCGCATTTCGTTGCCGGTGGGACTTCTGTACTGCTTTCGCACAGCACGATCCACACTCTTACCAGTCCTTCGTTAAAATCAAACTGCAAGTGAACCTATAGTAGGATTATCAAGTCCAGCGCTGAAACACGATAACAAAAGTGTTACTCATAAAACCAGCGCAAAACAGTTGACCTCATTTGACTGCTGGAGTATTGCCTTCACCGCGCACAAAAAGCTTCAAATTGTGCTAGACTGATAGTCGGGAAAAAGGCGAGACTGAAGAATTGGGGTGTCAGATCCAGTGTATCTGGTCTGCAAAAACATAAGGACCCCTTGGGAGGGCAACAAAAACAGATATTGTGGAAAGTGGCGGTCTTTGAAGGCCAAAAATCCGGGATGTCTGTACAGCTGCCAGGAATTGTGAGCATACAGTGTGCTGAACTGCGCCCTGTTCAGTTCTTGCTTTTGTCAATCAGTTATCGGTTAGCCTTTTTTTTCTATCGCTAAATCCCTTTTTTATAATGAGGCACTATATTATTGCTGTCACATTGTTTTGTTCGGCCACTGGGTCTCGTTCCCTAACGGCTGGAGACGGCGATGCTAATGAGGAAAGCTTTGCGGAGGTGGTGATGCGACAGCTGAAAGCGATGCCCCCAGCAAAGTGCTCTTGCCAAGATGGATACACTCTCACTGACGGAACGTGCATCCGGGCAACTGAAAGTGACCCACAGGTAAACGGTATTGGATAATATCAAGCTTTATACGTTCGTAACGAGACTCCTCTCCAGGAAATATGCCAAACCGGGAACATGGTGGACGGCCTCTGTGTCATGCCCGCGCAAGCTGTGCTGCAGTGTCCTGATCACTACATCACGGTTTGCAAGAAGAAGGACGGAGCAGAATCACCCTGTTGCGCTAAACCACAAACGGCCGAAAAGATTGCTCGCTGTCCAGACGGAACTGAGTTCCAGGATGGTCACTGCACAAGGCTTCTTGCCCACCAACCCGTCGCCGAATGCCCACTTGGTTTTGGCCTTTCCGAGCATGGAACTCAGTGCATCAAAGAAGAACTTGGAATGCCCGCTCCCACTTGCGTTCCACCGGATGTTCTGTCACCGGAGGGAGATTCTTGCATAACAACAACAGAACAAGGATTTGAGTACGTTTGCCCGGACGAGTATGAGTGTATCTCTCACACCATCAAGAAGAAGAAGAAATACAGCCCGCTGTGTTCCGCATGTGCCAAGACAACGGAGGCATTGCCAAACTGTGGATGCCCTGAAGGCCTGCAGGAGGTTGATGGCTTCTGTTATGAACCAGATATTTATGCTCTGTGCCAGTCTCGAAGGGCGGTCCCTCGAAAGCAGGCACCCTCCAAGAAGCAGCCAGTATATCCATCAAAGGAAGCACCAGAGCCAGAGATCGACTGCAAGCCAGTCGGACCCGTCACATGCGAATGTGCACTACCGTTTTCTCTCGAATGCGCCGGAGACCTGTGCAGATGTCTCCATCGGCAAGTGCTTCCCACGATGCCCATCTGCAGAGGAGAGATTGACGAAGCTGGGAACTGTCTAACTCAAGCAAAAAAACGCCTCTTGTATACTTGTCCAGAAGGCTTCACATGCGATGTCGTGGACAAGAAGGGCCAGTGCCAATGCACCCGAGTCGTTGTCGCTGAGCCCCTCTCCAGATGTCTCACAGGAGAGCCCCACGACAACAAGTGCATTGAGGTCATTAGAGAGGAAAAGGTTGTGGAGTGCCCACCCGGATACACGGAAAAATGCTGTGATAATCAATGCTCCTGCACGAAGACACACTTGGCCGTACGACAGGTCAAGTGTGAAGATGGTGCAGTTAGCATTCAAGGACAATGCGCCTACGTCTCCAAGCCCTCACCCGGATGCTTCGAGGTAAGTTACTACTCATTCGATGCACTGCAGCCTGTTCGAAATGAATACCATCCCAGGGTACGCTTCGAGGGGATAGATGCATCCAGGAGTACATCGTGCCGCCCTCCTGCGGATAGAGTTCGAGCTTTCCATGTGACCTCTGCGCGTATCGAAGTAGTCCCAATCCAATCGCATCAAACAAATCGCAATTGTTTTTGAAAGTTCGATTTTTTTGAAAAAGTATCGGCTTATGCATCCATTTTGCGAGAAAATTGTTCAACTTCCTTAATAGCGTCACGTTGAGCAGTCAACCGGCTGTGTAGGTCAGGCTCAGACAGGTCTGGAGACAGCACTTTGTGCATGACCAACGACCCCGCTGTAAACGAGAGAAATCCTAGACCAAGGGACCAGAGGTAGTCTCTAAGTGCTAAGCCAGTCGCCATTGTCGCCCTGTGTGAGTGAGTTAACGGAGTAGGTGTAATGCGCCTGCAGAGTGCGGCCACGGAAACCTTGTGAGTACAGACCCACGCAGGCTGAACAGAGCTGTTGTAGTCCTCCACTCTGACCTTGCGGCAATCCACACGTACTTCTATAGTTACACCCTTGAAAGTGCCACGCAGGACTTCCTTCTAGAATTCCGTTAATGCGTTTCAAATATTGGAGTCGACAGAAAGACTACTAAATTTAGATCGTTCATCCTTTAAAACTGTTATTCAGGCAAGCGCCTGCGTTTTCCGCTGTGAATGTCCAGCCCCAGTAGTCGCATTGGGGCTGGACATTCCTATGTATGGCAAACAGCTTCAAGCAGCAAGTAAAGCATTAGAAAAATTAGTTTCAAAGTCTAAAGATGTAATATCCCATTAAATATAACAAATGTCGGTGAGAAACTTCGGGTGAGGGCACAAGGGCTGACTTGTCCTTGAGAAGTTGGATCGAGGTTAAAAGCGTTCTCCCCGATGTCCGCGGGAATAAATTCAAAAGTTACAAACAACACTGATTTCCGATAGAAGTTTCTGTACACAGCATGTAGGCATACGAAACTGTTCACTCGGCTCCGTCTTCGCAAGCTTACTCAGGATCGCGCTGTGTGGGAGCCGTGAACCGCTGGCTAGCAAAATGCGTGCTGCGTGCGGAAACTTCTACCGAAAATCAATGCCGTTTGTATCTTGAATTTATTTCCCCAAGTAAGTCACGAGGCGAGTTAGCTGTATGTTGTGTATATCCATCCGTCTCCAACTTTCCAATTCATTCTCATCTGGGGGGAAAATTCAAATTAGGCGGGTTGTAAATTATCCGTGGAACGAAAGGCATCGTTGGAACTGCATACCTGAGGATTGTCTGTATTGGGCATGTGCCTTTTGCTCACCGTACTAAATCCCATAGCCCCAGAATAGGCACAACTCCCCATTTATTGTAAACTTATTTGTAGCTGGATCGTAGAAATCCCGAGATGGTCATCGTCCTCCTCTACCATGGTTTGTCTAATGCTGGTACGAGCATTTTCTACTGGCATGCGTGTGGAAATGGCCATTTAGGCTTCTACGTTACATGCTGCTGTGTGTGTCAAATACCGGCATAACTTACGTTTGCTTTCATAGGCCAAATGCTGGGGCTCTTAAAGCAGAGTGAGTCAAGAGACTAGTTAGCTGTCTGTTGGGTATATACATCCCTCTCCAACTTTCTTTGAGACTCCGATCTGATTGCGCGTCAACTTCCACAGAAGAAATGCCAATTGTGGAATGTTTGCGTGCGTAAGTGTGCTGGGAGATGAAGACCAACGTGCTAGGAAGCCTGCTTATCTAGCAATTCGTCCATATACTGCTGAACAGTACAGAGCAGGAGCGGAGGGTAGTTTCGAAGCGCGGAGATTCAACCTGTTCCGATCAGCTGTTGGATAAAACTGGCAAACACTCGGGCAAGGTGAATTGTCAACTTCGGAACTCATCAGTCGGAAAGCTTGAATGAACCTGAGTATCCGTGGCACAGTGCAGTACCTAGCTTGCCACCATACATGCACTGTGTAATAGACATGTCGCGTGATATTTTAGAACTGCAGCTAACAATACTGTTGCGCATTTGGTTCGCTTTCACAATCCCCCAATCTTTGTTTGTCTCAACCTGGAAATTGGGGGAAGTGCAGTAGGCGAAACATGTTCAACTCGACCTTTCGGTTCGCCTTGTGGCACAGGGCGCCCTCGAGGTGAAGGAGCGGCTGCGCATATGACGGTTATAATGTGCACAAGCTGTTTAGCGCAAGAAACAAATCAACATAATCACGAAAGAAACAGACTGCACTTGGGCAGTCCCCTTAGGAAAGGCGGGGTGGTCTTGCATAGTACGGCTCATGCGTGTCCGGAAGCAGCAAAATGCAAGAGAAAAAGACCACTAGAGAATAAGTACAAATTAAATTCGATTGAAATTACCATTTATTGAACCCCGTCCTTTTCACTCAAGGTGAGGGAGTGCTGCGGTGAGGGTCCTTCAGGTGCACGGTGCTCATTCATTCAACTTCTGGCCTGAGTGCTAAGATGTTCGCCTTCAGTGTATGGGTTGGCTTCTATGCGTGCCAGCTCCAGGGGACTGCTCTTCGAGAGCCCAATAAACAGAATAAGTTAGTAAATGGCTATAAATTGACAACTGTTTAAACTCAATGACTTTTCAGCACTGTAAACAGTTCTATGCGCGTGATCAGCTGTCGAGGCATACAATCATCCCTGAAGGAAGAGAGAGAAGCGATGAGCAAGCCGATATTGAAAAATAATGCTCATGAATAGTGCAAATGGCTTGAGGTATATTACAGGTGCAAACAGTCAAAAGAACAGAAGGACTTGCTGCTGGCTGCTGCAAAGGTGGTGCTATAGTTGCAGACGCCAATGCAGAAAGAAACGCGCAAAACCCCCTGGAGGGCAGTATTGAAGGTGGCGAACTTTAGACAGACGAAGAAGACATTTTGAAGGAGAAAGCGGAAAAGGTAGCCGATGATTCCACAACAAGTGCAGCAGCGGCTATGACTATGTCTTCTTCGAAAATCAGCAGGACAGGGGAGAACCGACAAAGGGGAGAACAGACAAAGAAGCCGCAGAATGTTCACAGTCCATAAAAACTTGAAACATTTGCAATTAAAGTTGTCGTCAGACTATTGACTTTAACAGTGCATTATGCAGAGTAGACACTCCTAAAGAAACCACATCCTTCTTCTTTTCCTCCAACCATACAACAACATAGATGCGCCCCACGAGGCACAAGGCACGGGCCCTAAAATACAGCGAAGGCGGCCTTTAGTTGATTCACTATTCCCTGGAAGAAGGGTCCGTTGAGAAGTTCTTTGGTTTATTGCACGACGTCATGAAGCTGTTGGTTAGCCCCTGCACAAAGAAAATTTATTCTCTCTGCAGGGGCAGCCAGCACAAACCGGTTTCCCAAGTTGCCGGCGGTTCTGACCCGTGCTCGGGTTCCTTGCAGTGAAGACATGCACCGCCAGTTCAAGAATATCCCTTTCAAATAATCTCTACTAAGGGTTTAGGAAAGAAGAACAGCAATTAACCATCGTGTTCTCGTTTCCTTCTTAAAATTCCAAACCAGGGAACCGCCGCCGACAACACCTGAGTGGCTGGTCTACGGGCGTCCGTCGTCTGATGCAACAACAACGCCTGCCTTGAACTGCGGCCCCGCCAAGACAACGGAATCCTTGAAAAATATGTTTTGTTTTCTTTTCAATAAGTACATTTGAAGCCGCCACGAACAATCATGCTTTGCCGAAGGATCATCTGATATAGCGGGTTATCGTTGGCGCCGGAGTGGATCTGTGCCGAGACCAACAGGTCTGCGTTTCCTCTTTATTGATTCTATTTGATTGAATTTTTCATTGATATATCTTCTTATTAGGTTATAATGAACTCTTTGAGCCCTTTGTTTCGTCGATCTGGGGAGGCTCCTTATTTTTCATTTTTTTCGTGTTTCAGCTTGCTGTTGCTGGTTTCGCAAGGCACATGTGCATTTGAGAAGTGGGAAAGGCCCTTAGGCTGGCACCCACAGTACGGGCCTCGTTATGTGGTCTATTGGGGAGGTTCAGCAGGTTCAAAAGAGCCTTCATTGGGTACTTGTACATACAGTCACTACGCTGTGCGTCTTGACGATACAACGACTCCTCAATCTCCTTTCGAAGATTACATCCTGGCCTCGTTCTATGAAGACTCTCTTTTAAATGGATCTCCTCCTCCAGCGCAAGACGAACAACAGGTTCTTCTTGCACAGTTGCCATTCTATGAGCCGCCGCCAACTGCACGCGGGCTGCGTCTTAAAGTTCCGGTGGGGGCTTGGAGCCGAGTGTTGAGGGCGCTCGAGACAATCGCCCTCGAGCTTTGTTTAGAATTCCTGCGGCGGCTGGGTGAGGTGAAAGAGCAGCCATCTGCTGTTGTTGCTGCGAAGCTGGAGACGGAAGGGGCTCGTTTGCTTGTGTTGTTGCTAGAGATATTCAACTTAATAAACAGGGAGAGGGAGTTGTCTTCTGAAGACCTCTCAGCAATGATGTCTGATAAACTTGAACTTTTTTCTAAAAATTTGAAAGCTCAAACTAACTGGGATTCAGAAAAATACATCTATTGGCTAGAGGTATCCTCTCAGGTGACCGAAGAGGGTCTTCCGTATTATATTCCAGAGATGGAGGCATCTATTTGGCTTTCTTCTTTAAGTGTTCTTTCTTTGTCTTCCGCCGCTCAAGATGGTCCTTATAGCCGTATTCTCGGTCTCTCCCCTTCTCCTTTTCTAGACTGTGAGCACTTCATATCTTCTCAGGCCTCTTTAAACCTTGCGGGAAAGGAGGCCCTATGCATCGATTCCTTCTTTGCTGGAACGATGGCTTTAAGAGGTGCAGCAGCTCAAATCATAGCGATCAGTAGTGAAAGAGGAGCGCCTCTCATCGAGCAGGCAGCAGCACGTCTTCGGAGAGCAGCAATGCCAACAGCAAGAAACATTACTCCCGAAAGCCCCTTCTATCCAATTGCCGCTCAGCTCTTGGAGGGTGCAGCAACAGCAGAATAATAATAAGAATAACAAACAAACAACAACAGAACTGCAACGCCGCCAAGCCAACTATTCTCAAAATAACCCCCTTCAAAGACCTGGCCTCCACGCTAGCTAGCTGTCTCGGTGGCGGTGTACAGACAACTAGCCACCGGTAGCTGCAGCTAGCTACGACTAGCCATGGCTAGCTGCGATGATGTGCCCACAGTACGGCTGCCAGCTTCATTTATTTGACTCCGTTAGCTGGGTGTTGGCGCAGTGCCATGCCATTTGTTTTAAATTCAAAAAGAAATTAAAGTCTTTCCTTTTGTCTGCATGCGCTGACTCTTGAATGCGCACTCATGAGTCCTGAGGTGTACAGACACCCTGTAGCGTATATCCCTTTACCGTCTTGTAATAATGTTGAATATAATAATATCAAAACGCAGTAGTGGAGTGTATGGACAGACAGCATCGAGCGTACATAGTGCTGCTCTTCTCACTTTCTCTTTCTTTTTTGAGGGCTGTCTCTCTCCTCTCGGCTTTTGCAAGAAGAGGTATTTACGCGTTTGTTTGTATGCACAGACGGACAGACAGCCACAGCAAGAGGAGTGCAGGAACCTTTAAAGAAAAGAATTTGATATTGTATAAATGCATGTGTACAGACAGACGGATAGTGAATTTATTCGCTTCTCTCTGCCTTCAAACGCCCCCTCACAACTTCTTTAGCGTGGTGCAGGCTGTTGTCTATAAGCCTTTGTTTGTTTGTGTAGTATTTAATGTTATAAAGACTATCATTCATAACTCCTAAGCCTGCACAGCCAGAAGGATGTATGAGGGCTTCTTTGCTGAGTTGCAGATACAGCACCTCAGCTGTCTGTCTCTGTCTCTCCACCGAGGAAGCAATCATTTCTATTTTCTGTTAAAAACTGAGAAACAAACACCAAAAACAACTCCTACCACAACGAATAGTGTGCATATGCACCTCATTGAGGCATATATATATATATATATATATAAGGAATGAGAGAGAGAGAGAGAGAGAGAGAGAGACAGAGACAGAGACAGAGACAGAGAGCGAATACTGTGGATATACACCTCACTGCGGCGTATGCACACCCACCTGCCTCCCCGTCTGCACTCAATCAAATGCATTCGCCTTTTATATGCATATAACAGGTGTGTGCGTACACCATGCCGATGTTGCGTTGCTCGCTTCGTTACTGCATATATATATATAT